TGCACCGTGTTGAGAGGCAGAGACTAGTGGGTAGGGCAGCCACTGGGGGAAAAGGTGGCCAGGACAGCAAGGTGGCCTGGCTTGGAGCTTCCTCAGTAGGCACTGAGAGGGGAGTCTGAACATTGGTAGGGGAGGGAACTCGATCCCACGGCCCAGCACTAACCTATTGGCTTGAGTTGTGAAGACCCCAAAGAGGGCGGGGCGGCCATGCAGGTTCACAGGCCCAGTTAAGGCCTGTAGGACGTCAAAGTAGAAGGTCGAGTCCCCAGGGACAGAGCAGTTGAGCCTCAGCTTAAGGAAGGATGTCCAGTGGCGATCCAAGGCCCGAGGTGAGCCACCCCGGTCACGTTTACACACCCGGGCTACCCGGGAAAACTGCACCTGAGGGAAGATAGGGAGGGGAGAGAGAACCACATGGCAGCTGGTTGAGATGCGTGGCGTGAGTTAAGAGCGCCGAGAGGCAAATACAAGGGTCACAGCAAAGAAAGGGGACGCTATGGGGGGTCAGTCTATGGCCAGCTATGGCAGGTGAGAGCTGAAGGCTACGTATGCAGAAGGATGTGGGGAGGGGTCAGGGTCCAAGGGGATCTGTTCTGGAGATTGGAGCCAAGAACTGTTCTTAGGACCCGGAAGAACCCAACTCCTTACCCTCCCCAGCCGGGCATCCTCCACAGAGACCTCTCGGAAGAAGAAGTAGACGTGGTCTCCGTGCTCCAAAGCGTAGACAAAGTGTGGCTCTAAGGTAGGGAAGGGCACCGGGAAGGGCATCCATACCCGCTCAGAGACTCACGCCCTACACTACCTTTCCACCCATCCACAAACATGCCGCCACTGCCCGCCCCCCCCCCACAGTCCTGGTGTACCCCCTCAGCATAGTCTGACCCCCAGGATGACTGACCTCGCAACCACTTGGAGTCATACTTGGCAGAACGGAGTGGAGGCTGCTGTCCGAGACTTCTGTAAACGACAGCGTCACTGGCCTGGAAGTCGGCTGCGGTGGCCGAGTACAAACTGCCCTCTGGAGGGGTAAGGATTGGAAGTTCAGGGTCTGTCTCTTGCCAGGGTACCCACACAGCTCCTCGGGCCTTTCCTCCATGCCCCACTACCCCCTCCACTCAAGGACGTGGGGAAAGACCAAGTTGGGAGAGGAACTCCTTCCAGCCAAGTGCCAGCTTTTCACATGCCCAGGTTCACACCTGCAAAGATGGCCACATTTGACTGGGTGGCGTCAAAGGGGCATCGAGCTTGCCCACTCAGCTCCTCGCCCTCCTGTTGCAGCGAAGTTATCTGGGGGCAGAGGAGGCAGGTTCCTGGAACCTTGGGGTCTTGGAAGTGTGGCCCCACAGCTCACCCCCACTCCCTCCCTCCCAGCCCCTTCTGCACTCTGGCATTCCAAGCACACCCACTCCCACCCCCAGATGCCTGTCTCTTCCCACCAAACTGGAATCCCCTCCCAGATCCCCCTCCTCTGTACCCCGTAACTGCGGCACATGGGGCTGAACGAGTTTGTTCCACAGGCAAGGAGCGTCTGCGAGTCCCAGGGAACAAGAACACGGATGTAGTTGTAGCATTCGTCCTAGAGAACCCAAAAGTCTCGGTTAGTGACAAGCCTGGAGCCGGGGTCAGGGGTCACAGGAAGTAAGGCAGTAGTCAGTCAGTCCTGAGCCACCATAGCAACGCGGCTAACGTCTCCAGCCGTTGGCGGGCCCTTTAGCGTTTCCCAAGTCCTTTGGCATCTTTGAACCTGCTTTTCTTTTTCCTGGAAACTAAAAGTCTGACCTCTCTTTCCTTCCCTCTGTCCTCGGGGCTGGGACGGAAAGGGGAGCCAGGAATGATGGCGGCCCACTCCCTGGAGGCGTCCTCCCTGCCTTCCCTCCACTCAGACTCCACTCCTCACCGTCTGCTTCCCCCGAACAGCGCAGTTCTCCACATCTTGGCTCCTCCATGTCAGAAACTGAAGAGAGAGAAAGAGGGGAGGTCAGGGGGCCACCAGGACCCCTGCTCACATTAGGACTCCTTTTTAGGTGCATTTTTCCACCCATGGGACCCCCATTACACCTTTCCCAGCTTTGTCTCCCTGCCTGCACCTCCTCGCATACAGCCCCTCACCTTGTCGGGCACCAGCCCCTCCCCTTCTTCTTGGGCTTGAAGATCGAAGGAGAAAACGTGATCCCTGAAGGGTAGGTAAGGAGGGGTCAGAGCTGAGCCGAGGCACCTGCCTGCCTGAGCTCCTTAGTCCCCTGCGTACCCATGTGCACCCGCTCAGGGCCAAGCCACACAAAGCTCCTGTCCCTAGCCTCCCCCTTACTCCACGCCTTGGCATCTGTTCCCTGGGTCCGAGCATGTCCATGTCCCATGGCTTGTGCACCTGCATGTGTCCCCTGCAAGATGCTGCAGTGGCCATGCAGGTCCCATGTCTGCCCAGGAGCATGCATGTCTGCCCCACAACTGGGCCTCGGCCATTTTACCGGGCGGCCACAAGCAAGGTCCGGTTCAAGGTCAGGAATCGCTGAAAGTCCAGCCCAAGTTCGGCAGCCACAGCATCCTCCTCCAGGCCCCGGAACCAGGATAATGGAGAAGTACCTAGAAGATGGCAGCTGAGATAATACACACCTTCCAATCCCTTTCCTACCAGAGAACACCCAGCTATGAACAGAATAGGAGACAAGAGAGGCCAACATCTGTTACTAAAAACAGTACCAGAAGCTACGCATAGTGGTGTACACCAGCAATGGGGAGGCTGAGGCAGGAGACTGCTGGGAGTTTAAGCCAGCCTTGGTTACTTAGCAAGTACCAGGCATTATACGAGGCCAAAGGCTGTCTCACCAAAAAAAAAAAAAAAAAAAAAAAAAAAAAAAAAAAACCTCTGAGGGTAAAGATACTTGCAGCCAAGCCTGACTACCTGAGTTCAAATAGCGGAAGCAGAGAACTGATTCCCCAAGTTATCCTTTAATTTCCACTCATACACCATAACATATGCACTCACCCCAAATAAGTAAATGTTAAACAAATACAAAAACAACTCCAACTGAGCATTTCATTTTCACCAGACACTGTGTGAGTTATCTGAATGATCTACCTTGCTTAATATATTAACCTTATAGTGACGTTGGCCTCCATTCAAGGCTTAGTACACGGAGGGATTTACATGACTACTGGGCAGGCGGCAGGGTTTATGTCAAGTCTGTCTGGCTCCAGAGTTGAGCCAAGTCCCTTCTTGGGATCACCTCTGTATTAGAAAGTTCCTTTCAAGGGGCTGGAAATGGCTTAGTAGTTAAGAGTATGCCCTACTCTTCCAGAGATCCAGAGTTCAATTCCCAGCACCCACATCAATTAGCTCACAACCACCTTTAGCTCCAACTCTAGGAGACCCCCCCCCTCCTCTGGCCTCCATGAGATTAAAACATTCCATCCTGCAGGGGAGCTCCTGAAGCAGGGAGGCAAATAACTGAAAAATGGCTTCAAGAACTCCCTGAAACTGACCAGATTCACTAGGGCCCCTCCCTCCCTGTCAGAGTAAACAATACAAAGCTGAGTCCCCCTCAGAGGAAGGTGTCGGAGAAAGAGGGGGAAAAAACCTGAGACCAGACCAGCTGCCTGCAGGAAGCAGAGACCAGCCAGGCTGCCTGGAAGGGACCATCTGAGAACCTGGAAAGGGCTCTCCAACCTGTTGACTGCCCGCAGGCTGTGCACTGTGCTCCAGATTCCTAGTTTGTGAGCTGTCACTCATGCTGGGGTGGGCTTTGGTGATACAGCTGTCCCTGAGTCATTTCTGCTCCTGTAAGTGACCCCTCACCCATATTCCTGTAAGCAACCCTAATAAAAGTCATTGACACCAGGCATGGTGGCGCACGCCTTTAATCTCAGCACTCTGGAGGCAGAGGCAGGCGGATCTCTGTGAGTTTCGAGGCTAGCCTGGGCTACAGAGCGAGATCCGGGACAGGCACCAAAACTACACAGAGAACTTTGGTGAACTCTCTCTATCTGGGGTGAGTAGACAAGTGTTGTCTCCCCAGGAGAAGTCTTGTCACACAAGAGCACCAGCAAACTCACACACACACACACACACACACACACACACACACACACACACACACACACAAAGCGTTTGGTTTTTCTCCTCCCTCAATACTTCACCATTCCACCCTTCCAGGTTCCTCCCTCTTCTGACCAGCTCCTCCATGTCCACCTGGGCTGGTCATGGAGGCCACAGGTACTGGTGTTTAGGCGACCCAGGCTCAAAGCTGACTTAACGCTAACGAGTGCTGAGAACAGCATCTGATGCAGAGGTGGCTGGTTTTGTTTTGGTTTGGTTTTTTGAGACAGGGTCTCTCTGTGCGGCCCTAGCTGTCTTGAAACTCACTCTGTAGACCAAGCTGGCCTCGAACTCATAGAGATCCTGGGATCAAAGGTGTGCGCCACCACCAGACTCAAGTTTGCTATTATTCTTATCTATCCCACAACAACCACTCCCAACTAAAATTACTCTAAATCCAACATGTAGAACACAGACCCAGACAGGGGAAGACTCTTCTCAGGAAGACTGCGGTGACAGTTTCTGTCACGGTGAGACCCAGGCTCACTGGTGGGCAGAGAGGATAATAAGAGGCTGGGAACCACAGAACTGACGCAGGACCTCACTCTGTCGCTAAGAATAACACACACGTATAAAGTGCTTAATTTGGGCCAGACAGTGTTCTCGGGACTGTGCCTCATTTGTGTGAAATCTATTACCTCACCTAATCTCTAAATAACTCCATGAGGTGCAGCATTATGATAGCTTCCTTTTACAACTGTGGAAACTGAGGCAAAGGTTAGAGAACATTGACCCAGGTCACACGGCTAGTGAGCAGCTGAGCGGGGATTCAAACCCGCAATGGTTTGACGGGCTAAGACTTGACATTCCTTATAGGCTCCTTTGTCTGACCGAGACAGTGTCATCACGGCTGGCCTGGAACTCGCAACCTAGCTCAGGCTGTCCCCAAACTTGTGGCAATCTGCTGCCCTCAACTGTTAGCGCGCACCTCGCTCAGCTAGGGTCACATTTTTTAGCCACTTAGCAACACCACCTCTGAGTGAGGAAACAACACCCAGGGATGAGAAACCTGGGGTTCCAGCTCACCCCACCTGTTCGGTCCCCTTCCCTGAGCCACTCTCTTTGAGGCTGGGAACATTCCTCCACCTTGCCTCCCACACAGGGGTCTCATTCTCTCCTTGCTCCCTCCCCACCCCCACCCCACCCCCCACCCCGCAGAGGGTCAAGTGGGTGGAGTACTCACCCTGCAGGTCAGAGGTCAACAAAGGGATGGGGTCCTGGGGAAAGGCAGCCTGGGCATGGGGCAGAGACAGCAGCAGCAGCAGCAGCAGCAAGGGCATGGAGTGGGGGGCAGGGGGCATCCTGTGCGGGGCAGCTCAAGCCCCAGGGGGTACCCCCTCACCCATATGCTGGCCCTGAAAGGGGAGACGGAAAAGTGGGGGGAGGGACTGAGTTCTCTCTGCCCTTGTTGCAGGCAGACTCCTCCCCAGGTCTATCCCCAGAAGACCCTGTGGGGTGGGGCAAAGAACCGTCTCCGCCTCACTCCCAGCCAGCTGTCACTTGTCACTCAAGGTCCTTCCCTCGCCAACTGGCCCGAACTGGTTAGTGGGAAGCCTGCCGGTGTGACCCCAGGTAAGGACAGAACAGATCCGCTGCCCCACCCCCCAGCCTTTCCTCCTCTCTCCCGCCTGGCTGTGGGGCATTCAGTAGGTGACACCTCCCGGCCCCCTCATGCTAACCCCTTCTCAACTATAATTAGACGCTGCAGCCTTAAAATTATAAATAGTGACTCCTTGGCACCGGGAGGAGGAAGAGGGCACCAAGTCTGTGCTCCCCTCCCCTCCCAGACCCCCACAGCACCCTGGGAGTAATGTAGGCACTGAGCCCAGGCAGAGGCAGCTGTGTGGCAGCCATGGTCCTGTCTCGGGCTGAGAAAGAACAGAAGGAGAGGCACAAACAGCCCGAGGGGTCACTGACCTGGCCTAAGCTCATACTTCAGGGGCCATTCCCATTGCTGATGAGGAAGCGGGGGGTGGGGGGTGGGGGTGTCCATGGAGGGGCTGTCTTAGCCAAAAATGAATCTGCATCAAAGCCAGATCAGAGGCTAAATTTAGCTCTGGCTGCAGCTGTCTCCTCGACCACTGTGCCCCCCCCAGCCTGGAGCCCCCCCCATTGCCTCCCTGGCTCCTAAGAACCGATGCATGTTCTCGAGGAGGGGAGAAGAGCAGACCCACCCCCTGTGCAGAGCGAAGGATAGAAAGGACGGGTGAGGAGAAATGGCTGAACGTGCCCGCTCTCCCCTTCTTCCCTCATCAGGCTGCCTCTGAAATTGAAATATAAATAATTCAATGACAGGCAGTGGTAGCCCAAAGTCCGAGAAAGGATGGAGATGGCGAGAGGCGTGGGGACAGGTCCCCTTCCTGCCCATCTGCCTCCCCACCAGCCGACCCTGCCTGGACCCACGGCAGGCCGTTCATACGAGCTTCCTGCCTCCCCTTGAAACTGAAGTGAGGGGCTGAAGAGGCCCCACTGGTCAGCTTCAGGGAGCCAGGAGTCCTTTCTTTTGTGACCGATCACAAGCCTTAGTGGTCCATTCCAAGACTTCTAAAGGGGAAACTCTGGGCAAGCCCCCTTCCGCCTAGCCCATAATACCACTTGAAGCCAGGACCCAAGTGTCCACCCAAGCCCCATCTAGCGTCACTGGGGGGGAGGCTGACGTCAGGTGGAGCCCCAAGAGAGCTGGAGGAAGGGACGGGATAGAAACACCTAATGATGAGCCCCCCCCCTTCCCCAGAGGCAGAGCAGTTAGCTGGCTAAGGACCCCCCCACCGACAGGTCAAGTCTTCCTCCTCCCTCCCCCAACCCATGTTTCCGTTGCTGGGGCTCCCAGGAGAAGAGAAAGTGACACACCTTGTCATCTGTGCTCTCCTACCTGCCCCACCTCAAGTTGCCCTGGGCAACTGTTATCTTCACCCTGGAAACAACTTGGGTCTCTGGCAGGTGTGGAGAACATCCAGACCCCCTCCTGACCCCCTGATGGAGTCTGCTTCTATCCCCAGCTCTCCGGGCTTGCTGCCTTTTCCTTACCTGGGGTGGTGGGTCCTGTGGGGGACGAAGGGGGACAGGAGCCCTTTGATCTAAGAAAAGAAGGGACGAAAAAAGAAAAAGGAAAAAAAATCACATCTCCCTTACCACATCCTTGAAAAGTAAATGTGCAAATTTGGGGAAACGCTGCTAAGCCAGTGTGGGGGAGATGCTATTGGGGGACGCATTTTGTTTGGTTACAAAATGAGCAGGCTTTGCACCGACCGGAAGATAGGAGGGTAGCGTCTGGCCTTTAGCCAGAAACTCCTAGAACTGCAGGGCCAGTCTTGGGGAAAGGGCTGTCTGGGAGTTGTGGGTCCTGATGACCACTCCCATGGTAAAACCTTCAGAATCCAGCAGCCTTCCTGCAAAAGCGCCCTAGCGAGGGACAATAGAGGCTCATTTGCATCTAATTTGCATGCTCTTCATTTCCAGGCAAAATGCTCTGATAGCAAGTACCTCCATCCCTTCCTTCCTCAGAGAGCAAACCACGCCTCCCCCCCACCCCCCCACCCCCGCTAACCTCTCACACTAAGGACCCCCCATACACGCTCACTTTAAGCTGGGTTAGTCCAGCCTCTAAAAACACTTGGTTGGCCTTTTCCTTGGCCCACTAGACTCAAGTAGGATACATCTTTAAGAGGGCTTCCCATAGCTGTTTGGGGGAGCAACCAACATCTGGGTGGCTCCCATCCAATCCATCCCTGGCCTGGGGACAGGCATGCCGTGACCTGGAGAAATCCCAAGGAGAGACCTGGCCGCTCTTTCTCCCTTCAGGTCCTCCCCTTGATAGAAAGATGAAACATCCCCCCTTTTTTCCTCTTAGCCAGACAGCCACCTCTGGGGAGTGGCCGAGGTCACAGCCGGTGTCTAGAGGAGCTGGGGAAGGGATTGCGAGGCCGGCCGGGGACAATAGCAGGAAGCCATAGGCATGGTCGCCCGCCCCAGCCCACCTTCCACAGGAGGCTCGGGAGTGTGCTGCGCCTCAAAACCCTTTCACCCTACCCTTCCTCTCAGTCCCAGGCTTTGTACCTACCCTCCCTCCGACCCACCCCCCAACGTGGATAAAACCAGGTGTCTGGAGCTTCGCGAGCGCTTAGCGTGAGGTGGGCCTGGGGCCAGGGGCTCGACGTGTCTCCCCCTCACTGGATCCGGGGCTCCGAGGAGGGGCGGGTAGCAACGTCTGGACCGGGACCGGGTCCCAGAGCCACGTTAGCGGGAGGAGGGGCTGGAGGGGCCTGCAGGCGCAGATCGAGTGGGGACGGGGTTTGGGGTTGGGGGACGGAGGCGGGTCTCCCAGACCAGGGAAACAGGGCCCGAGGCTGGGGACCGCCGAGGGCGGGCCCTAGGCCCGCGCGGAGCGGGTAGGTGAGCTAGGATGCTGTCGCCAGGCCCGCTCTCCTCCGTGGGAGACCCAGTCTAACAAAGCCCGCGAGGAGTGAGGTGAAGCGTGGAGGTGGGCGCGGGGACTGGTGCTTCTCCGTGGCCTCACTCCTGGACTCTTTGCCCAAGCCGACCCTTCCCCCTGGGAGTGCTCAGACTCCAGCCTGCACAAGGACGAAGAAGCAGCCCTGACACCTAAGTCCAGAACGACTTGTCCCCTTTCCTGTCCCTGCAGGGGTGTCAGGAGGTCCTACTTCTCCATAGGTCTCCGAGCCTCAGTTTCCCGCGGGAGAGGCAAGATGCTGGGCTTTCCACCCTCTGCATCATGCGCGCCTCAGGGGAAAAAAAGGAAAAATAGCCCCTTTCGTGACCCCTAATCTAGCGGGACCCGACTGCGTGCGACCAGTCGGAAAAGAAGCCTACACCCTGCGCCCAGCAATGCATCTAGGCTCGGCCACGGTCCCCTCCTCCTCCACGCACCCTAAGTCCGCTGACCCTTTCTCTGCCAGGCACAAGACGTGCTGGACCCACTCGAGTCCCCGTCACACTCAGAAGCTTGACCCCCTCTCGCGACGCTCCTGCCCCTCCCTGCAGCTACATCCCTACCCCAGGGTACTTGCTCCGAGATCCGGGTCAGCGAGATCCAGGGAGCAGCGGGAGGCCCCCAGCTCCGCGCCGCTCAGAGTTCGCAATCCGTGTTTGGGGCTCGAGCGAGATGCGACGAGCGTCCCGTCTGGACGGTGCTTGGATTTAGGCTCCAGGGCGCTGTCGGGTTACGAGAGTCCTGGGTCCGAGTGGGAGCCCTACTCCCGCCGCAGATCCGCGGAGGAAAACAATGCGACCGCCCGGAGCTCTGGGCTCGGCCCCAGCCGCCCCGCCCGCCTCCCGGCCGGACCCGCCTCCGGCCCGCCTCTCTGTCCCTGCGACCAATAGGATGCTCAGCGGCGGTCTAGACACCGCCTTCCCGCCACCTCTCCACCAATAGTACTGCAGGGAGGTGGGGCGCCGGGCGCACGGTCCACCCAGAGCCGAGCGGAGAGGGTGAGCTGGAGACCGGAGTCGGGCACGAGATGGAAAGACCCACGGACAGTCGCTGAGACCCGGACACGAGACACACACCGACGGAGACAGGCTGATGGAGAAGAACCCCTGGACAGAGTGTCACAGACAGGAAGGAGGACAACCTGAGAAGAGAGACAGGAAACCAGGGGGCCTCAGCTGGGCTGGGCTGTCAGAGCCTGCGCGATCCTCCCTCACTTCCATCAGTGACTTAGGCGACCCTGCTCTCTAGGGAGTCTCCCGGCTTAGTCACTCCTCATTTCTCCTCGCTAAGCTTCTGCCTGTGTGTGTCTTTTGCATCCCCATATGCTTTCTCCGGTTCACGTTCATCCTGACCCCAATCTGAAAGCCTGCATGTAGTTTGGGGGTGGAGGCCTGAGAAACGAAAAGTGTCCTCTGGTTTATCATGTGTTCATCATCTCCTGCCATCCGACCTCTACAGTCATAATAGGTCGGCCTTGAGCCACCATGCCAGCAACTAAGGAGCCTGCAAGCTAAGGGGCTGGCTGTCAGGAGAAGGTGGACGAAGGAGGACAGGTAGGAGGGCTAAAACTCAAAGCCAGGTGGAGACGAAGACTAATTGATTCAGAGAAATACAGAGACCTGAAAGGGAGAGAGTAACCAGCTGTCCGAACCCCACAGATGCAGGACTAGTGTGTCCCACCTCCTCAGAGGGCCTTTGGACATCCCTCCCTCCAAAAGGCAAAACTGCTCCTTGTCCCCCACGCCCCAATAAAGAGCCTTTGATTTGAGGAATGTCAGTGAAGAGGAAGAATAAGGCTACTTCAGACAATACTGCCTAGCTTCCACCTTGGCTTTGCCTGCTAAGATTTTTCCCTGCGTGGGGCTGGGACAAAAGATATTTTCAAAATTCCCAGGAATGTAGGTGGCCTGGGAGACATTGACATTCTCAGATAGTGTTGTCTGAGTGGGCATTTCTACCCACAGCTTGGTCTCTGGATTGGAGGGAAAAAAAAAAAATTGAGTTACCAGTTTCTACACTAGCCTTAACTGAATGGGAATCAGAATAAAATAAATACACTGGCAATCAGACTGTGTGCTGCAGTGAATACCATTCACACACAGACACCGAGAGACAAGACAGACTGAGTTTTAAGGTCGGGAACAATGGGATGAACAGAGTGAGAAAGGGATGATACTTACACTCGAGTAACTGCCGAGGGCTCCTGGATCCAAAGCGGCTTAGCAGACAGGGAAATGAGAGAACAGAGGCCAGCAAAACGGCTGAATGGGTGAAAGCATTTTCTTCAAAGCCCTGAGGCCCTGAGTTCAATACCCAAAACGTAAGGTGGAAGGAGAGAATGAACTCTCAAAATTTGTCTCTGACCTCCACATATATTGTAGCATTCACACACACACACACACACACACACACACACACACACACACACGCACGCACGCACATGCACACACACACACAAAGAAACAACAATAATAAATAAAAAACTAAGTAAAAATAAAACAATAATTAGGGCTGGGCCTAGTGGCCCACACCTTTGATCCCAGCACTCAGGAGGCAGAGGATACTTGAGGATCTCTGTGGGTTTGAGGCCAGCCTGGTCTACAAAGGGCGTTCCAGGACAGCCAGGACTACACAGAGAAACCCTGTAAAACCATACAAACAAATACATAATTCCTTCAAGTTTTAAAACAGACCAAACCTTAATTCAATGCAATAAGTATTAGACAATTGAAGCGAGTTTACTGTGGTATATTATCCCAGTCTTTGAAGGGCTGGGAAGATGACTCTGTGGGTGAAGGCTGCCAAGCCTGACAACCTGCGTTCAATCCTGGGATCCACATGGTGGAAAAAAAAAAAAAATCAACTCCTGCAGGTTGAGCTCTGACTGCCATACATGTACCATGTCTCTCTCTGTCTCTGTCTCTGTCTCTGTGGTAATAACTACCATGGCTGGGGGTGTGGCTAGAATGGTAGGGTGTATGCACCAAACCCCAGGTTCAGTCCCCAGCACAGTGTAAATCAGGTGGTGTGTTGGTTGTCTATACTATGGGCCAGCACTTGTTAAGTGGAGGCAGGAGGACCAGAGACTCAATGTTATCTACCACTTTCTATTTGAGTTAAAACAAGACCTACATTTACTAAATGATTCAAAAGCAATACCAGGGCTGGAGAGATGGCTAAGTGGTTGCTCTTTCAGAGGACACAGGTTCAGGTCCCAGCACCCACAATCATCCATAACAACAGTTCCAGGGGATTCTGATCTCTTCTGATCTCTTTGGGCACCATCCATCCATCCAGGCAAAACACTGTCACATACCCAGTGTGGTGGCACACACTTTGAATCCCAGCACCGAAGAGGCAGAGGCAGAAGGATCTCTGTGAGTTTGAGGCCAGCCTGGTCTACATGAGGTCCAGGAGATCAAGGTTTACATAGAGAGATGAGCAAGCTCATCTCAAAACAAATAAATAAATGAATCAACAAAATAAAATAAAAACACTCATACACATAAAATAAAAAAATCTAAATAAATTTCAAAAAAATTAAAAAGCAGTATCAAAAGCCTATCAGGGCAGTGCTATCTGGAACTCACATTCTGCTGATGGAGTCTGGCGAGGAGTTCAAGGCCAGCCCACACACTTCTTGTTGTTTGCAAAGAGTATTGGATACATTTTAATTACTTTTTTCCCCCAGTGCTGTGGGAAAGAAACCCAAGCCCTTGATAATATACTAAGTAAACATTCTACCACTGAATTTTATTCCCAGCATATTGTAGATATTTTATCTTGAGAGACAGAGAACATCGATGGGAGTCAGCCCGAAGAAAGGAGAAAATGTTCCTAAGAGTCAATGTTTAAGCAAAAGCTTTGACTTGGTAAATACGCAGCCTGAAGTGTGGACAGCAAAAGGTCGTGCGAGGCTCATATGTGCAAAAGACCCTGGTTCTGAGTGGGAGAAATGAAAGAGGGATCTGGTTAAGGAGGATGGGTCACCAGGGTGGGCAGGGTAGAACACTGTGGAGGGAGCGGGTGTGTTTTAAGTTCCTCAGTGAGGGAGTGACTTGTCGAGGAGTCTCGTCCTTTTCTTGGTAAGAAAGAAGACATTGAGACTGGCCGAAAGCACCCTCACTGGCCGAGAGCACTGGCTGCTTGTGCAGAGGGCTGGATTTCAGTTTCCAGCTCTCCTATGGCAGCTCCCAACTGTCTGTAACTCCAGTTCCAGAGACTCTGATGACCTCTGTGGGCACCAGGAGGCATGCACATGGTGCACATACATGCATGAAGGGAAAACATTCATGCACATAAGATACAGACTTTTCTTTTGAGACAGGGTCTCTCTGTGTAGCCCTGGCTGTCCTGGAACTCACTCTGTAGACCAGGCTGGACTCAAACTCACAGAGATCCACCTGCCTCTGCCTTCCAAGTGCTGGGATTAAAGGCGTGTACCACCACTGTCTGGCAAATAACTCCTTGTGGTTTGTTTTTTGGGACAGGTTTCTCTGTGTAGTCCTGGCTGTCTGAGAACTCATTTTGTAGACCAGGTTGGGCTCAAACTCACAGAGACCCTCCTGCCTCTGCCTCCAGCACAATAATTCTTAAAGAGACATGGGGGAGAAAACCGAAGGACTTGAGGAGACAGCTCACTAGATAAATGTGCCTGCAACCAAGGCTGATGACCTAATTCAGTTCCTGAAACCCACAAGGTAGAAGAGTTCTGATTTCCAAAAGTTGTCCTCTGACCTCCACATATACAGTGGCATGCTTGCGCGCACACACACACACACACACACACACACACACACACACAAATAAATAAGGAAATGTTTAAAAATTTTTTAAAAAAGGAAAACAAAGTCCTCATAGATTGGACTCTTAAATTTAGGATCTCTAAATCTGAAAAATTACTATCTCCTAATCTTTACAAATAGCTTCTTCAAATATGCTATTTCCCCCTCAAATTCTATTTTCCTCCACTTCCTGCTCATTTCAGCAGAACCTCTACCCATATTCAGAAAAAAAAAAAGGAGGCAAAAAGTGATCATTTTGCAGGTGGTGTTGTTGCACATCCTTAATCTCAGCACTCAGGAAGCAGAGGCAGGTGGATCTCTGTGAGTTCAAGGCCAGCCTGGTCTACAGAGTGAGATTCAGGACAGCCAGGGCTGTTACAAAGAGAAATCCTGTCTGGTAAAAAGAGAGAGAAACAAAAAAAAACTGATCATTTCATCAGCTTTTTGTCTCCTACAGAGGCATTTGTCTGTATCAACACAAATCTCCTGTGGAAGAGGCATCCACATCCCCTGTCTGCCTCAAGTATGCATGTATGGGAGAGTATGTATGCACACACACTGTGTGCATGTGGATGCATGTGTGTGCGTGCCTGCACTTGTGTGTGTTAAGGAATACATACATGTGAGTGTGTGTGAGCATGCATGTGTGTGTTAGTGATTGTGTGTGTATGTGCTTGTGTGTGAGAGCATGTATGAATGTGTGTGTAGCTCTCAGCTTTCAGCATTTTAGGGGGTTGTTTTGTTTTTTTGTTTGTTTTGTTTTTTTGAGACAGGGTTTCTCTGTGTTTCCCTGACTGTGCTGGAACTCACTCTGTAGACCAGGCTGACCTTGAACTCACAGAGATCCGCCTGCCTCTGCCTCCTGAGTGCTGGGATTAAAGGCACCACCACTGGTGGGCAGCTTTGAGCTACAAGCCCAGTCTCTCTCTCTCTCTCTCTCTCTCTCTCTCTCTCTCTCTCTCTCTCTCTCTCTCTCTCCCCCTCTCTCTCCCTCTCTTCTTTCTTTCTTTGTTTTTAATATCTTGAAACAAAGTGTGAGTAATTT